GCATAAGTAACCAGTAGGTGGAAAGGCAGGGCTTAGGGGCTGATACTCGACCCTGGAAGCACATCTAAGTGTGTGATGTAGATGAAAGCACTCACACTAAGGCAGTAAACCTCTCTTTAATGTAGGGCAACTGTATGGGTAATGATGAGAGCAGCCATGCAGCCTTTTGCTGTGTACCACCACCGTTAATGACTCGTGAGACCACCAGGAAGACGAGGAGGAGGAGGAGGAAGAGGAGACTAATAATGAGGAGGAAGCGGAGAATAATGAGGAGGAGGAGGAGGAGGAGGCGTGCAGGGATCCTTGCTCACACACACACTCGTTCCTGCACCACCCAACTCACCTTCCCCCAGGGGACCCCCAAGGGACCCCCAAGGGACCCCCCAGGGGATCCCCAAGAGACGTGCCTCAAGGCCGCTCCCACACCCGGGTTTATGGCTGGTCTCCCGGGTCCTAATTAACAGTTATTACTTTATACACTGCCCGAGCACGGTGACTTCCGCCTTCCTGGTCTACGGGTCGGACGCCGAGGGGACGCCCCCTGTGGCCGCCGGGGGGGACGCCCCCTGTGGCCGCCGGGGGGGACGCCCCCTGTGGTCGCCGGGGGGGACGCCCCCTGTGGTCGCCGGGGGGGACGCCCCCTGTGGCCGCCGGGGGGGACGCCCCCTGTGGCCGCCGGGGGGGACGCCCCCTGTGGCCGCCGGGGGGGACGCCCCCTGTGGTCGCCGGGAGGGACGCCCCCTGTGGCCGCCGGGGGGGACGCCCACTGTGGCCGCTGGGGGGGACGCCCACTGTGGCCGCCGGAAGGGACGCCCACTGTGGCCGCTGGAAGGGACGCCCACTGTGGCCGCCGGAGGGGACGCCCCTGTGGCCGCCGGAGGGGACGCCCACTGTGGCCGCCGGAGGGGACGCCCACTGTGGCCGCCGGAGGGGACGCCCACTGTGGCCGCCGGAGGGGACGCTCCCTGTGGCCGCTGGGGGGGACGCCCACTGTGGCCGCCGGAAGGGACGCCCACTGTGGCCGCCGGAGGGGACGCCCACTGTGGCCGCCGGAGGGGACGCCCACTGTGGCCGCCCCCTGTGGCCGCCGGGGGGGACGCCCACTGTGGCCGCCGGGGGGGACGCCCCCTGTGGCCGCTGGAAGGGAAGCCCACTGTGGCCGCCGGAGGGGACGCCCCCTGTGGCCGCCGGAGGGGACGCCCCCTGTGGCCGCCGGAGGGGACGCCCACTGTGGCCGCCGGAGGGGACGCCCACTGTGGCCGCCGGAGGGGACGCCCACTGTGGCCGCCGGAGGGGACGCCCACTGTGGCCGCCGCAGGGGACGCCCACTGTGGCCGCCGGAGGGGACGCCCACTGTGGCCGCCGGAGGGGACGCCCACTGTGGCCGCCGCAGGGGACGCCCCCTGTGGCCGCCGGAGGGGACGCCACTCATAATTACACCTGTCGCATATTTTTCACCTGAAAGCGTTCAAAATATGTTATGGGGGAACGTAATTAGATTCCAGGGCTCGTAGAGCTGGGGAGAGAAGCAGGGGGGGGGCGGTCAAGTGTTTGGTGTTTATTAGACGAGGGGAAGGGGAGAGAGAGAGGGAGAGGAAGGAGAGAGGGAGAAAGAGAAGGAGAGGGAGAAAGAAAGGGAGAGGGGGAAGAGACGGAGAGAGGGAAGGGGGATATGTATGGAGTCAGAAGAAGGCAAAAAAAAAATGTGAACGAGGATAGGAAGGGAGAAGGTGACAGAGAAGAGGATAAAACTGGGAGAATGGCCAAGATGGAAAAGGGCAACATGCAGAAATAATATAATGCGAAAATGCTAAGAAGAGAAATAATGAAACTGAAAGAGATGGAACAGGGGATAGACACTTGAAAGAAAAGATGAAGACTATGGGTAAGGGGAATGATGGGTGATAAATGGGTGAGAGGAGTGAGAAAGTGGTGGGTTGTGCAGTGGAAACGTGAAAGAGAAGATAGAAAAGGTCAGAAAAGAAATGAGAGAGAAGAAAATGACTGTGTAGGAAGGGAAATAGATGGAAGGGGTGCGGGGAGAGGAGGTAAGAAAGAGGAGTTAGGTGATATGAGACGAGAAAGAGGGGAGAGGAGGAGGAGGAGGAGGAGGAGGAGGAGGAGGAGGAGGAGAGAGAAAGAGGGAAGAAAAGAAGAGTGTAACATGCAATCGATACGTATGTGATTGTTAGATGGACCCCCTCCCCCCCCCCCTCTCTCTCTCTCTCTCTCTCTCTCTCTCTCTCTCTCTCTCTCTCTCTCTCTCTCTCTCTCTCTCTCTCTCTCTCTCTCTCTCTCTCTCTCTCTCTCTCTCTCTCTCTCTCTCAAAATAACAAATATAAACACAGGTTCTGCGTTCCTTATTTATAAACAGATTAATTATAATCTCTCGTACGCACTCACAACATGCCTGCACGTAGTGTGTGTTTTCTAAGTGTAATTCCCTAAGTGTAGTTACAGGATGAGAGCTACGCTCGTGGTGTCCCGTCTTCCCAGTACTCTTTGTCGTATAACGCTTTGAAACTACTGACGGTCTTGGCCTCCACCACCACCCTGGTAGAGTTGAGGGGGGGGGGACACGTACGAATGGGAGGGGGACACACACGAATGGGGGGGGGACACGCACGGGTAATAAAGCTCATGAGGCTTTATGAATCCTTATGAGTGATTTAAGGCATGGTGCTAGTCCATATAATATTACCAGGCGGGACCCAGGAGCTGAAGTTGAACTCTTGGACGCATATAGGGGAGTGTATACTCTTACACAGTGGCTCACCCACTAACTTTAACACTGCTTTAAGTTTCTACCAACTTTGACGCTGCTCTTAAGTTGCAAGAGCAAAAGTTGGTGTTGGAGAGGAGGGCCTCTCACCCAGGAGAGGGGGCGCTGTTTGGGTCATAACCTAATGATCAGACTTTCTTCATTATGGGCCTCGGGATAGTCCCGGGGATGGGATAGGAGGGTAAAGGGAGGGGGATAGGACCGGCCGGGGACGGGACGTAGCAAGGGAGAGTACCAGCCTGGGAGGGTTAAACCTGTAGACAGAGTTGTTGTTTCTAGATTCAGCTACTCAGAACAAAAGTTCCAAGTAGCACGGACTATGGTGAGCCCGTAGTGGACTTACCTGGCACAGGAGCGGGGCTGTTGTAGACAGAGGGGAAAAAAGACACTATTACAGAAAGAGATGACGCACAAAAGTTGAAGTTTTGCTTCAGGACGCACTCCGCTGACAGAGGTCCCAGTGGGCATTGTTGGCCACGAATATGTAGGTAGCAAGGAGTCAACAACGTCTCTGATAAGTGCTGAGGAGGGAAGGAGAAAGAGGGAGAGAGAGGTGGGGTGGGGGGAGAGAGAAAGGGTAGTGAAGGATTCATCGTACCTGTTAAACAATTCATTGAACATTATTCAACAATTGATTCACTCCGTTCATCGCGGTATCACAAGGGTCCACTTAGACACGCTGGTGACGTGTAGGTATCATGCTATCACAGGTATCATACTATCATAACAGGAGGATGGGTTGATATCTGCGGTGTGTTGATGCTGTGTACCTCTGGCGTTGGATAATGTGTTATCTTCATTTTTGGTGTTGTATCCCATCTTGTCTCATATTCTCCAGACCTTCCCTACCATGTCTGTTATCTCCTCTCCTTCCTCTCTCTTCTCCGCCTATCTCTCCCTCTCTGTATCTGTTTTTCCTCTGTAAATGTCTTTTCACTCGTTCTCCTTCCATCGTATATCTTTTCCTTCATTTGTCTTTCTCTCCTGCCCATCGTCTCCCTCCCTCCCTCCCTCCCTGTCTTCCTCTCTCCGCATCAAATAAATGTTCACTTTTTCCCTTGACGATGTCAGGTTGTGTGTGTGTGTGTGTGTGTGTGTGTGTGTGTGTGTGTGTGTGGCTGCCATGCGTCACAGACCTGGCCCACACCACTCTATTTCATACAAACCCAATTGTGAATCATACAAACGAACACCCCAACCGTTCTGGTTGTATGCTGTATTTGGTGTATGTTTCGCAGTACAGCTTAGAGCTACAGGAAATTATATGGCTCGAGGGGTCGTGGGGTTAATAAATGTCATAATATTTTTAACATCAATTTTTTTAATTATTTATTGGCATTGCTAGTGATATAGATCTGAAACATATCTGCTCGGGGAGCGTATTCCTAAGGGCCCGGGTTCGATTCCCGACCGAGGTAGAAACACATGGACAGAGTTTCTTTCACCCTGATGCCCCTGTTAACCTAGCAATAAATAAGTACCTGCGAGTTACAGCTGCTACGGGCTGCTTCCTGGGGATGTGTGGGTGTGCGCGTGCGCGTTAAAAATATATGTAATAGACATTATAGAGGAAAATACGTTGGTTAGAAAGGCGGGGACTATGAGCTAATTGCTCAGTTTTACAGGCACAAGTGCATAGCATAGCATAGTATTTACAATCGTAAATTGTATTTACGTAATAGCATACATATTTACAATTGTATTTACAATACAAGTGGTAAATACTTCCACTCCCCTATACAGGTGTGTGTACTCGCCTAGATGTTCTTGCAGGGGTTGAGCTTCGGCTCTTTGGTCCCGCCTCTCAACTGTCAATCAATCGGAGTACAGATTCCTGAGCTTATTAGGGGTGCGTGCGTGCGTGTGTAATTACCTAAGTGTAGTTACAGGATGAGAGCTACGCTCGTGGTGTCCCGTCTTCCCAGCACTCTTTGTCGCATAACGCTTTGAAACTACTGACGGTCTTCACCTCCACCACCTTCTCACCTAACTTGTTCCAACCGTCTACCACTCTGTTTGCGAAAGTGAATGTTCTTATATTTCTTCGGCATCTGTGTTTAGCTGTGTGTGTGTGTGTGTGTGTGTGTGTGTGTGTGTGTGTGTGTGCGTGCGTGTGCGCGCGCGTGTGTGTGAGCAAAATTAATTATATGAAAATTTGTAAGGGAAATGTGTGGTATGTGTAGTATTAACACGTGTTTGTATTGTTGTGTTTCCCCAGGACAAGGAAAGCTACGACTACGAGCCAAAGTGTACCTTCAAGGTGGACGAGTATGGGTTCTTCGTGTACTGGAAGAGCGAAGGCCGGGTGAGTACTGGTGGGGCTGGGGCCAGGTTCACGAAAGCACTTACGAACGTGTACATCTTTCCTCAATCTTTGACGGCTTTGGTTACATTTATTAAGCAGTTTACAAGCATGAAAACTTCCCATTCAACTGTTGTTATTGTTATAAACAGCCTCCTGGGGCTTCGGAGCTCATTAACTGTTTAATAATTGGAAACAAAGCCGCCAAAGATCGAGAAAAGATGTACACGTTCGTAAGTGCTTGCGTAAGTGTGTTCGTGAATCTGGCCCCTGACTGCACCAGTGAGGATCAGAGGAGTTCCTATCAACCATCACAAACTTCCCTTGACATACGCATGTGCAAACAAATTTACTCATCCGAACTTAGCCTGTAGTGAACTAGATAATTTATTTTATCTGAAATACGTAAGGTACTCTTGGTAAAAAAATTGTTTACTCCAATATGATTTAGTGATCTTCAGTGAAGTACTGTACTCTCTTTGCAAGTTATTCTGATTTAAACTATAATAAAAGTTAGACGGACTTTTTTAATCCGAATATAGACTATATCGTCCTCTGTTTTACAAAATAATCTTATCCGGATTTCAAGAACTGCTCTTATATTTTCAGGACGGAAACGTGGCCGAATTGTCTCAGGTATCCGACATCCGAAGAGGTCAGCTTCCTAAGGTCAATATATAAACCTTGCTTTCATATCTATTATTTCATTGTTTTTATAATTTGTTATTTAGCATATTCATAATTGTCTTTATGGCCTAATTTGTCTTTATTGATGTGTGTAAATTATTTTATGCCTTATTTATGTCTATTTTTATGTTTTCCTTACGAAGACGTGTGTGAGTTGTGTGTGCAGACATAATTTCATTATAATAATAGATTTAGTATTGGCTGTAGTAATACATAGGGATGAATATGTGTGTTCATAAAGTGATGACCACCAATTCCGGTAGTATTCACCGTTCTAACTATGCAGCCTCTGGCTCCATTTATTAACATAAATCAAAAGTGCATTAGCATGACCATGTTTGTGCTCAGAAAAAGTATAACTTCTTGCTCATATATATATATATATATATATATATATATTATATATATATATATATATATATATATATATATATATATATATATATATATACATATATATATATAATATATATATATATATATATATATATATATATATATATATATATATATATATATATATATATATATATATATATATATATATAACAGGAATTTCCTTAAGTACTTTTGTATATTAATACATCTTCAGAAGGAGTATTAATACCTTCAGACTCCTTCTGAAGATGTATTAATATACGAAAGTACTTGAGGAAATTCCCGTTTCAATTTTCCTCCGTGGTCTGACACTGTCACATTTTTAATCACGTTTATTTTCGTGATATACACACATAATTTTTCAGTTAGAACAAATGTCTTCTTTACTACCGACTAGATTATAAAATATAATCTATAAGCTGTGTTCTTCTCGGGACTGTGCCTGGCATTGTTAAAGGCATGCCAGTGAACGACATGGGCGATATAAATTTTGCATTGATTTTAAATATTAATAATACAATATTTGCAACTACAAGTTGCATGGAATTTTGCATCTGCAGTTGCTGGAATTTGTGGTAGCTTCGTGGTTGCTAGTAAGTTGCAAGTGCAGTTGCTAGAATTTGCAACCAAGAGTTGCAGCCTAATGTGTGGATGTGCAGGGGATACATGTTAAGTGCCCTTAATACCTATTCTAAATTCTTAGAATTATTCTAAAGTATTCTATTCTACGTAAAAATAGGGCACACGCACCCGAACATAGTAAGTAGTAGGTAAATAAAGTATACAAGGAATTAGAGAATTCATCCCAAAATTATAAATGGTGCCCTTAATAATAACGAATGATGCATATCGCCTATGCACAAGTATTCCTAAATAATTAACAATACTAATTACCTATAATTACCCCACTTACCTATGACAATCGACTATATTATACAAAAATAATAATCTATAAGCTGTTTTCTTCTGGGGCTTGTATATGGTATTGTTTCTGGGCCGGCAGTGATGCAGAGTATATCTAATAAATACAGAAATGTTACACTATGCATTGTGTATAAACAAACGGTGACTAACTGGCATGACGGAATTGAAGTATTTTAACATAAGATTTACAGAAACGTTAGTAACAAAATGAAGTTATAATAAAGAAAGGGTAACTAAATAAAGTAACATGCCAACGTGAACGTTCCTTAAAACAAATGACAAACTAGTACAGTCAGCTGGGAATAACTGGTTAAACAGAATGAAAATAAAGCAAGCTAAAGTATGGTGACAGGAATAAAAGTGAGGAAGCAGCGTAAATCAAATCCATAATTTACTCCGAGCAGGTGTACTAGCCTAGTACACGTACGGGGATAATATACCGAGCAGGTGTACTAGCCTAGTGCAGGTGCGGGGATAATATACCGAGCAGGTGTACTAGCCTAGTGCAGGTGCGGGGATAATATACCGAGCAGGTGTACTAGCCTAGTGCAGGTGCGGGGATAATATACCGAGCAGGTGTACTAGCCTAGTGCACGTGCGGGGATAATATACCGAGCAGGTGTACTAGCCTAGTGCACGTGCGGGGATAATATACCGAGCAGGTGTACTAGCCTAGTGCACGTGCGGGGATAATATACCAAGCAGGTGTACTAGCCTAGTGCACGCGCGGGGATAATATAACGAGCAGGTGTACTAGCCTAGTGCAGGTGCGGGGATAATATACCGAGCATGTGTACTAGCCTAGTGTACGTGCGGGGATAATATACCGAGCAGGTGTACTAGCCTAGTGCACGTGCGGGGATAATATACCGAGCAGGTGTACTAGCCTAGTGCACGTGCGGGGATAATATACCGAGCAGGTGTACTAGCCTAGTGCACGTGCGGGGATAATATACCGAGCAGGTGTACTAGCCTAGTGCACGCGCGGGGATAATATACCGAGCAGGTGTACTAGCCTAGTGCAGGTGCGGGGATAATATACCGAGCACGTGCGGGGATAATATAGGTGTATACCGAGCAGAGCAGGTGTGTACTAGCCTAGTGTACTACGTGCGGGGATAATATACCGAGCAGGTGTACTAGCCTAGTGCACGTGCGGGGATAATATACCGAGCAGGTGTACTACTAGCCTAGTGCAGCCTAGTGCACGCGCGGGGTGCGGGGATAATATACCGAGCAGGTGTACTAGCCTAGTGCACGTGCGGGGATAATATACCGAGCAGGTGTACTAGCCTAGTGCACGTGCGGGGATAATATAACTATCCAGGGTCTGTGAAGTGGGAAGGGAACTATTAGGAGAAAGCGCCAAGCCATAACGACTATATAGCACTTGGAAGGTGTTCAGGATGGAGATTTGGGGATGGGACGGGGGGAAATAAGTAATTTATCAAAGAAGGCGCCAAGCCGGGAAGGCTATATAACACCAAAGGAATGGTGCCCAACCACTTGGATGGTCGAGGACTGAATGCCGACTTGCATGAAGCGAGACCGTCACATTACCATCCAGCCAAAGTGGTTAGGCGCCCAGGGTCTGTGAGTGAAATAACACCGGCAATCACTTACATGCACCTCCATTATCTTAAAATATGAGAAAAATATGATCCAGTTTGACCAACTTGCACCTCGTGACAGTACGCGGTTATGATCTTGCTGGTTAAAACTTGAAATTGTATCCGGATCGAGTAATTAAAAAAAAAATTGACAGGTCTGAAATAATTCCATTCAGAATTTATGGGGGGAGGATATTTATCAACCATCCACAGGAAATGGTTGCCCATCCATGCAAAACTCTCCTTCCAGTTCAAGGAAGTTGAGGAAGAAATTTTTTAATTTAGCCTCCAAATTTCCGTCTCCGTGACGTTTAATATTATAAGAATGCTCCCCCGTCCCCGCCTTCGATTTCTCCAATACCTAAATGACTTTCTGATGGATATTATTGATCCGGCAGGACGCCAAGTTGGCTGATAAGTTACTAAATAAATTCGGGCAAGATGTGGAGGACAAGATGCTGGCCATTTGCTCCGGGCTGGACTACGTCAACATTAACTACACCAACATCGTCTGCAAGACTAAAGAGGAGGCTGATGTGAGTCTTAATGTTATTAATGTTATTTTGGTTTGAGTGTGTTAGCTGTTTAATTGTGCTGAAGTTTATCCATAATCCTATTTATTGTATTGTGAATGATGTAATGAATGGACGAGTGATAATTTTAATGCTTTATTATTTAATATTTAGCCTAATGTGACTCTTTTTCCGGCCCGATGTCTCATCAGCTCTCGAGAGATGTGAAACAGGGTAACGAAGAGGATAATTTTCACCTACATGTGTAGTTCTATGTATATTATTTCAATTAATGAAGGTAAAATACGGTGCTAGTTATATCGGCTTACATGGTGCCTTCTTTTGTATAATTACTTACTTATGATAGTAACATGAATGTTTGTGTACTGCTTTCCTCTATAGTTAAATTTGAAGCAGTCAGTCATTCCGTGCTCAAACTGTGTATCATAATCATCCTAAGATTAATAGTTGATAAGAAATTATATAAAGATGTTGCAACTACATTAGAAATAATGTAGCTGCAATTTAAACGTTCCGGGGAGTCCACGAAATACTAATGATATCAGACACTAAATACAGTAATTTGCCCATTAACAAATTTGGAAACAACCTGGGTCTACAGTCAGTCAGGTGTGAACGGTAACATAAGGCCGCCAAAACCACAGCGTCGGCGCTTCTGTGCCAGGTAAGTCCACTACTTGCTCACCATAGCCCGTGCTACTTGGAATTTGTTCGGAGTAGTTGAATCTATAACAACAGCGTCGGGAGCCACACACAAGGTACAGCCAGCCACACACAGACGTGGCACGAATTGTACGAGGCACGAATTGCCATCTTTCCAGAGCACGAATTGCCATCTTTCCAGACGTATTGCCATCTTTCCAGACGTGGCACGAATTGCCATCTTTCCAGACGTGGCACGAATTGCCATCTTTCCAGACGTGGCACGAATTGCCATCTTTCCAGACGACACCATCTCCACCATCAGCAGCATCTTACGACACTACTTGTCAGGAGGCCGCCGTACCATTCCAATATCAACCACGTGTAACTAAACTATCTAGCACAAAGCCAACATTTCGGGGGACAAAGTGACGGTGTTATGAACAATTACAGTTCAGTCTCGCTGCCAACACAACCTCTGCAGAATGAGCATATTATGTTGCTAGGTCATCCGACCACTGCGGCATCTTTAATGGGATACTTATGGATGTTTCGATAATATTAGGGATATTTAATTATTTTTGTCTTTCGAACTTCGCCGGAAGTGGATTGTTTTGTAATTACTTTCCTTTAATCAACGAAAGTTTATCTAAAATGTTATTAATAAAAAATAATAATTATAAATGGGAGGGATACAATTACTCAAGTTAGGCAAAAAGGTTTAAACTATATTCCCCTATAATCTAAATGTTATTATGTAACAAACCACAATGTAGGCCAGAAAACAGATGCTTTTTCACCCATGGGTGTACCTTTGACAAGCCACAATCTTCCTGTGCACTCAGAGGTCACTAGTGAGGTGGTGGCCCCTTCAGGTAACTTCAGGTATAACTTTTCTATAAAAATTTACATTTTTTAATCGTAATTCTATCGTCGTCAATTTCCAAGGGCAATTTTCAACCACCAGCTCCCAAATTGTGCTAATTAATATTTATTGTGTAATTTTACCAAAATCTCTCTCTTTTTTTTTCCATGTGGTTATAATAATTTTTTTTTAAGTTTTTTTTTTTATCCAGAGCGCTCCCTAGAGGTAATCACCCATTCACAGCCTATCACAACCAAAATATAATGGCTAAATATTTTGCTCATTTTTTCCAAATTTCTTTATTATGATTTATTTGACTACAGAAAAAGAGAATATTTTTTAAACTTTGTCATGAGTGGCACATGAGGAGAGGATTGCCATGACAGTGCCCAGCACATGTTAACACAATTACTGTAGTGATAGTACACTTAAAGGAAAATTCTGACAAAATAACAAAAGCATTTTGAAATAATAAATACATAATTCGTATGAAAATGATTACGGGAAAATGACAAAATGTCTAGTTGCCATAGTTTGAGTTTGAGAACTAGAGGGGTAAGGTAAGATAAAATATTTATTAAAGTAACGGTACATTGAAAATTACAGTAGTAACAAACATAATGTCGGATTGATAGATCTAGTACATACAATGCTTGGGGAAACAATACACTATACTACACTACATACAATACACTAGAGGGAGAAAAGTGAATACTAATTGAGATTTGTATCTCTCTCTCTCTCAAAAAAAAAAAAAAAAAAAAATTGTTACATTCTTGTACAGCCACTAGTACGCTAGCATTCCGGGCAGGTCCCTGGAATACGACCCCCCCACGAAGAATCGTTTTTACAACTAAGTACCCACTTTACTGTTGAGTTAAACAGAGGCTATAGTTAAGGATTTGCACCCAGTAAATCCTCCTCGGCCAGGATTCGAACCCATGACAAAGTGCTCGTGGAACGCCAGGTGGTGAGTGTCTTACCACTACACCACGGAGACTAGAGCTCCATGGCGCCCCACCCCCCCAAGAGCACCATGGTGCTCTTGGGGGTGGGGATATTGGGGGTTAAAATACCCTGAAATTTCCATCCCTTTTAAGGATCTGAGTTTGGTGTAGTGGGTTAATGGCGTACCAGCTATGCCAGTTGTTGTGAGGCATCTGTGCTGGCTAGGGTTCGAGTTTCCTGGTGGGTGTGTCTAAAAGTTGTTTAACTTCACTTGTGAGTTTAGGCAAGTTAGTTCATATACAAAATATAATATATATAATATATATAATAATATATATAAATATAATATACACATACACACAGTATATATATTTTCTGTGAGTGGATTCAAGTTCAAGTTCAAGTATGTTTATTGAGATAAGCAATAAATACATCTCAAAGGGATAGAGTAGCTTAGGCAATTTCTACCCCCCTCTACTTCAAGTCCCTCAAGGGGCGCACAAATGCTGCGAGTACAAATAGACAAATTACAATACAAGAATCCCATTTAAGATTGCATCCACTGTGAGTGGAGGGAAATGCATGCATAGAATGGGGGACTTCTTTGTTTATAATATTATTTTATAATTATGATAACAATTATAATAACATAATTAATATGTAATAATACAATTATAATATTAGTAATATTAACATTTATAAATTTGTGATAATATAATACCTTTATAACAATATTGAATAATTATGATAATAATTCATAAAGCCATTATAACAGCAAGTGCAATAATAGCCATATATGTATATAATTTAATAGATCTATAAGGTTTAAGTTCTTTATTGTTCATTATAAATAATTATTATAAGAATAAACATAGAGTATTAAAAATTTTAATTAACATTTATAAATAGCTTTTATAATAGTTAGTGGTAGTTAATATAATTCCTAAGAACAAATGTAAATTTTTAAATAACATTCAAAGTAACATTTGTACTGTAATTGCAATTTATAATTAGAATACATTATAATAGTAATTATAATATTATGTTGAATTGCAACAATAGAAATAATATAATTTATTAAATCTATAATAGATTTAATTTTATAATTACATAACTAATTACATGTGCATTTATATAAAATTACACTAATGCATTTATGAAAGGGAATTGTTAAATTAATCCTGGTATTAAATATCATAAGACTTTGGGGGTTCCTGCAGAACCCCTGGGAGGAGGCTGGGTGTTTGAAGACTAAGGCAGGGGGCAGCTGGACAGAGGCTGATGCCCCTGTGTGAGCGCTTAAGTATGCCCGCACTCTTTGCACGCGCATGCAGATGCAAACGATATTCATGTGTTTCCTTCCCACAGAAACTTCACCTCTTTTGCAAGCAATGTCCATATATAGTACACTTGAGAGGATGTGCAGTAACTCAATATCTAACATATTCAAGGATTTAAGTGGGGGGGGGGGGAGTGCTGTCTGGTGCCAAAGTTTATTGTTCTAATAGCAGATTTGTGTTGGGTAATTAGAGGACAAATGATTTTGGATAGTAGAACCCCAAGCACAGATACCATAATTGAAATAAGGATAGATGAGAGGGTAATAGTGTTACAAGGGCTGGGCGAGGTGCATAATATCTGATCTTGGAAAGAATGCCAACAGTTTTAGAAAAGGTTTTTGCTATATGTTCAATGTGGCCCTGGAAATTAAGCTTGTTATCAATGAGAACACCAAGGAATTTACCATCCACCTTGTATATTTGGATATTGTTAATTCTTAGATTAATTTGATCTGAGGATTTATTACCAAACAAAATATAGAAAGTTTTGTCAATATTAAGGGTGAGTTTGTTAGCAGTTAGCCAAAGATGGACTTTATTTAGTTCAGTATGCACTGTATCATTCAAAGTAAGAGGGTCAGGATTGGAGAAAATGAAGGTTTTATCAGCAAATAAAATTGGCTCGGTGTTGAGCCAATTTTTGAGCCAATGGATGGTCATTAGTGTACATGAGGAGGAGGAGGAGAGGGCCGAGAATACTGCCCTGTGGAACACCAATGTTGATGGGTAGGATGGGAGAAATGGAATTATTCACAGAAACATACTGGAGTCTGTCACTAAGGTAAGACTGAAGGTATTGGAGGGAGTGACCTCTGACTCCATAATGATGCACTTTAAGGAAGCTAAAAAATGACAGATGAATATCACTGGCAGGAATTGCTTGAAGATGGACCATCTGTGCCCATTTTAATCCTGCTTGGAAAAAGGATGGACTTTCCTGTCATGGTCCTCGGTAATACAGTTGTAGTCATTCTCAACTCGCAATTGGATATCCAGGTGGGACAAAATTGTTGGGTAATGTTTTTCTCACTTAATGCCTCTGTTCACCTAGTAGTTAATAGATACAGTACCTGGTGGTTAGGCAATTGATGTGTAGTTGAATCCTGGGTAAGGTCAGTAGTTCACCTTTGTGGAGGACCTTGATACATGCCTAAAATATATATACAGTATATATATATACATGCTGCCTGTCCCTGCCAAAACAAATTATAATTATAATGGACTGAGATCCAGGATTCAATTCTTTTCGAACTTGATCCTACCCATCTTTGTATCTGAGCTAGTATGTGGTCTTTACTAGTAGAGGGTTCGAGTTTGACCAGGAATTAAGCTGCTCCAAGGTCTATGCTCCATGAATCAAGTTAGCCTGGGACTCAGGTTATTTAAGTCCTGGAGTTTTGCTATCTCTAAAAACTTTTAATTAGTGTGTGTGACCAATTGTAGCACAATGGTCAGCACATTAGGCTTGCAATTGAATGGTCCTTGGTTTGATTCCTGTACAGGATGAGACACTTGGGCATGTTTCCTTTCATGTAAGGCCTCAGATAAATAGGTACTTATGAGTTGGGCAACTATTGTGAATTGTATTCTGGGAAAGGACAGTCGTTGACCTAGTGCAGTGGTTTCCAAACCCTTTTGGCCTCGTGGCCCTATTTTCTAATACTGTACTTAAAAGACCTGTGACCCCCTGTCACACATTGAAGATAATGTGTTCAATTGCATCCATTAAGGCCGTGTTCCCTGGACTGACCTGGTGGTCAGTCCTAGAAAGTCGGTTCCAACTGGTGGCCTATACTAGGAGGACCTCTATAAGGTTCAACTTTCCTGTCCCCCAGAATAGGAAACATTTAGGAGCTCTGTAAACTTAATGATTGCAAGCTGCATTCTTCATACATAATTTTGGGACTTAAGTCTTTAAATTAAGTGTGCTATGACACCATTAGCAGTACTGTAACTGTATTTGTAGCTATGCTAAATATTAAAAGTTTCATTATCCCCTCCACAGATATGGTTAGAGGGCCTTCGGAAAATATTTCACAACATCAGAGCTAATAACATATGTCCAATGATGTGCTTGAAGAAGCAGTAAGTCTCTTGCACACAATACATATTTAATGTCTGCATGTGTTTAATTTTTAATGCAAAGCATCTTTCACAAGCGGTGAATAATGCATGATCTGCCACATGCTGCTTCTAATGCACCTGGTTGACCCAGTTTGCTACTGACACTTGGGTTGGCTCAGTTTGCTAATGATACTTTGCCACAGCTTATTACTGACACTTGGATTGGCACACCTTACTTCTGACACTTCAATTGGTACAGCTTGTCACATACTTTAATTGCTGTCCTTGGCATCTCATTACTAAACTAACATGCGAGTGTTTCTGACTAACACTTGAATCTATGGTTACTATTTTTATGCGTAACTTATTTCGTTGCATCTGTTTAAGTGTCAGCTGGTTCTTTAACAGCTGTAATATTGCTTGATGTAAATGTCACCACACATGTGCATATGCCATATATATACGTGTACTAGCAAATTCTAAACAGGTCTCAAAGGGAGCCCCCAGTGACTCCTTGAAGCTATTTTGCCGAGATTGATCCATCTAATGCATCATATCAGTCACAGATGTGCTGTTTGGCCTAGCAGGAACCAGAGCCAGAACCTGGCCTCCTCACAGAGAGCAAGTGGGAATTCGTGACCCCACCTGGAAAGCATCCAGAAAGTCAGTGATGTTTTTTGGATCACTGTAGGTTTCACAGACACGCCAGTTTACAGGACCCCATTCTGGGTAAACCCATGCATGCTTTGGCTGGTTGGGTCACGCTACCACAAAATTGTTTACCGTTTAAGAACTACCACAATAGTTTATAAGACATTGTTTTATGGCGTGTAAGGTACGAGATTGAAAGCCATACAGCTGCCTTGGCTGTCTCGGCCCTCTCTCCCTCATGGAGTGCTGGGACGCCATTCCCACGAAAACGCGTGGGAAAACTTTACACATAGAATCATACACATTTACTAATACATACTCTCAGACACAAATGTAATATAAAACTTAATATCAAATGTAATATCAAACACAAATAAAGCAAACTGGTATTTTAACTAGGGGAAACATTTACATTATTAAAACAAAAGCTAGACTATAAACAAAAGATACCAGTCATTACATCAAGCTGCCTAGTGCTGCTATCAGTACTTACAAGTTCACGCTAGTTTTGAGTGAATCTGTTGTTTTGTTTGAATAATTTGCAAAGTTGTTAGGCTGTTTCAAGGCTTTGCTTTCTGTAAACAATCCAGCTGTCCGTTAAGCATTACTGACTTTCTAAATGCTTTCCAAGTGGGGGTGGCAAATTGTCACTCGCTCTCTGCACCTCTGTGAGGGAGGGGGGGCAGACTCCATCATTGGTCCCTAGTAGGCACTCTGAACTCCTGTGACTGATGTGACCCATTAGATGGAGTTATCTCGGCGAGATACCTTCAGGGAGCCATTGAAGCTCTACCAGAAAGAAGTGTTACATTACATTTAATGCTGGTGTAGTTTGTGTGTGTGTGTGTGCGTGCATGCATGCATGATTAATGCTTGTGTGGATTCTTCTTTGTTTACTTGTGTGTTAATTTTTATAAATGCAAAATCTCTTGAGAGTTCAGTTTATTTTGAGGGAGTCATATTTTGCTAATGTAAGCTTGGTAAATTAATAAGCACATAGTAGTCCGATGTTAATACATACAGTAATAAATTTTGAAAATTAACAATCTACTGTATTTAAAATGTGTTTATAATTCAATATAGTACTGAACTGGGTTATTTGGTCTATCTTTCTACATGCACTGTATAATCAAAGTACAGTACTGTACTGTGAATGAATACTAATATTCAATTATTGATGTTACAATTAAAATACAGTATGTTATTAATTTAAATTATATGAAGGGCAAAATAAGCTCTCGAAAGGTTTTCTGTACGACTTTCTGAGCTAACGCATTGGGTTGCTCCCTATGTGAGATCTTGAGTGTCCTCTGAACGAGGATAATGACAGTTGGGCAGGAGGCATTCTAGGCAGTGGTACCACAGGGTCATTAAAGGTGCTAGAAGACCATAGGACACAACTGATCTTACCTTACTCAGGGGCATCTTAGGGAGCAACTGAATAGCACAGCTGAAAAGCTGCTTTTCGTATTCACCGAGAACCATATTTTTTCCAAAGGTCATTAGTATATTTACAATATTTTTCTTGGATTCTTTTGCATAGAACTGGCAACAAAGTCTTCGAAAAATTACAAATAACAGCAAAATCAACAATGCATGTCCTCAGACCAACTTGATGAAGCAGTAAGTTACTGCAGAGAAGCAGCGGTGGCAACACATTAAACTTGCTACTGCTGCTGTCGCCCATATATGCTTTAGTAAAAGAATAGATTATCGTATGGCATTATTATAATGCTTTGGTTAGAGTAATCTGACTGTAGCTGAACATTCCTATTAAATTGTCTGTGGTGGGGTGGCAGCATGCTAGTTCCCACTCCTTCTAAGCAATATCAGCCCAGGTTTGAGCCCTGGGCAGGGAAGGGCACTTGGTCACCAATTGTTATCCATTTGCCCATCAGTAATTAGGAGATTTGGTTGTAAACCACAAGGCAGATAATTTTTAATGGAAAAACTAGTAGGGCAAGCAAGCAATGGGATAGTAAAGCTCAAATCCTGCCGGTAAGATTTAGAAGTCATCTGATCCTGTACCCTTGTGTATATAAAAAAAAAAAGTTTGAAGTAGGTAACATTGTACAGAACTGTGCAATAATTTATTACACAAAAGTATATCAAACTAAAGGATTAACGAAAATATGACAAGGCCTACATCACACTCATCATAGCACAGAAAATTTAAAAAGATTACATTCTAAAAGTTCAGAACATTATGAAAATGGAATTACTTTACCCTAAGATTTATACATATAAATTTTTGATATGATTAAAAAAAATAACTTTGCCAGACATAATAGAATACTTAGAACAAGATAATTTATAAAAATGCAATGGTACTGGGAGACTAGATCAGTGCAGTAGTTCCAAACTACAGGGTACCTCCATCACCAACCATTTTTATAGGTCATTATTCATTTATTTAAAATTGCCAAAGCTAGCCCTAAAAGTAAATTTCCTGTATATAGTAGGCCTACTGTATGTAGATTCAAAAAGTGTGATTACTGCTATAACACAACATTGCCCATCCCATACATTATACAGAAAATAATGGAATAGCCATAGAAGACTGCACAAAAAATATTATAAATTTAAATCTTTTGGGTTCCTAAACACATTGGTGTCCTGGGAAGCAAAGTCAATTAGCCAGTAAAATGATGAATTGATTCCCAAGCATTGTAGCCTAGTTTATAAACACCAGTGCTGAATAACCTTTAGGTAATGGTGCTGGGCCACAGACTCAAATTCTGTCATAAGAATATACTGTATTAATAATGTTAATAAACACAAATCACAATAACTTGATATACTATACATCGAAGAGAAAATCGATGAGTGTGCGGCTGGCAATGCCTTGGTCGTAAGTTCATGCCACCTCACAGCCCAAGTGGATTTCCTCAATAATATTTTTAATAATAATAATAATAATAATGATAAGCAACAAAATGTTCTAGTTCTGAGGCTGATTTTGTGCTGCCCCATTTTGGGGAAAAGAGTAGAAAGTTGGGTCCCCAACCGCATCTTCCCAGCCCTTTGTTCCCGAGTACAAGGTTCAGTATGCACTGCATAGTGGTAGTCAATGGAGTCACCATATCCCTACACCTGCAGTAGGTAAATGAATATTATCCGACATTTAGTTAACACACTACTGTAGAAATGTCAAGAACAATACCCAACACTGTTAATGCTGTACTAGACAAATATGCTCATTGATATGATATATTTAGTCAATACTAGATAAATTTGATGAGGAATATTAAACATTTATTATAACTTGGTCAAATATCTTTTATTCATTCTGATTTAGGTATATTCGCCTTCCATTTGCATGATACTGTACATAGATATTTCTAGCAGTATGACAATTTTAAAAACATGCTCCAGCAATATAGTGCTGTAGGCTAGATTGTTTTATTCCTAGGCATTTCCCGGTCAAGTAAATACTCTCAGTACTATAATGTTATGTAATAATGTACATAATAAATATGGTGTAAGAGCATGGATAAAGTTTGTTTTTAAGTACAGTACTTTAAATGTGCTTATCAATTCTATCTCGTATAGCCGCCTTTTGTTAATTATTTGTATACAGTATTTTTTTTTCTTTAATTTCAAAAAAATGCTAAACTAAATGGTTTGTAATTAATTTTTTTTTTATTTATGTTGTATTTTGAAAATGTATCATTCTGAAGAAACACCATTTTTCATTGTCATATTAATATATCTCTTCCAAATACATTATAACTTGTAATTATAATTTAAGAATTGTATTGCTTATACCAGCTAATACAAGTGGTATAAGCTTTGTATTCCTTAAACTAATTTATAATTTAGGGAATACAAAGCTTATAACAGTTGAGGGTGTAAAGAGTGTACATTAATCCATACTTTCCTAATAATTGTGGAACAGTTGGATGCGTCTTGGAATGACGGTCGATTCTGGTGGCAATATTCCTGTGAAGCATATTGTCAGAACCTTTGCTTCAGGCAAGACAGAGAAAATGGTGTTCTCGTGCTTAGAAGAAATGGGGTTGCCTTCAGGAAAAGTAAGATATATACACAGAGATACATTGTAAGAGCATATATATCAGTGCATCCTCACTCTATCAAACCCCACTAACGAATTCCCAGACAACTGTACAACAAAATTGTACAGTATTTTTATTTTGTAATCATGTAGCATAATTTCTCAGTGTTGCATCATAAAATTAAAAAAAATTGTCACATCAAAAAATGCTTTGCATTTTTAGGCGCCTACCCTTAAGATACAATTATAATTCTTTTATACTGTGCAGTACTGTATTGTGAAAAACATACTTCAAGAAAGCATTGAATTATAACCTGTATATTACTTTGATTCTTTTGAAAAACAGGGTGACAGTATTGAAAAAGAGGCCTTCTCTTATGACAAGTTCTACAAACTCTACCACACTATCTGCCCTAGGACTGACATTGATGAACTCTTTTCAAGCATGTAAGTCTGCATTAGGTTTGTGTAATATCGCGTATGAAAATTATGCAACATTTAATATATTTACAGAAATGTTTTGGAACACCTACTGTAAATGCCTTGTTGCAACACTGTAATGCAGTATATTACTCCTTACGCATGTATGCTACTACTTTTCCTTCTGTCCTCACCCATATTTTTCATATCACACACTATTGCTATACATCTAATGTTATACCATCAATATAGAACTATAATAGCCTTGTACTGCAACTCCTCCAATAATGTAACTTTTCAAACTTCTAATTTCATCTCGATTGCCATTCATTGTTGTCACTACCTTTTCCAGTATAAATTTTACTGACTCAAATTACAATTAAAATACTGTAGTGTTTTCCACGAACGTGAAACTCAAAGGTACCGCAGAGATAGTTCCTTTGAGTCAGAAAGTAAGTGTGGTGTAGTGCTGACACCTGATAGTTAACCAGACCTGTCCATTAAAGGTCACACAAGTGATATGAGAGGAGGGTGTGGGGCTCTGTAACGCTTAGTTTTATGAACAGTCCTCCTGTCTGTCATTCTTGATTGGACTGATTCTTTCTCCAGTACAGTAATTCTCTATCATCTTATTTGACCCTGCAAGGCTGGTTTGAAAAGATTCCTCTGTTGCTGGTACTATATGTATCAGCCCTGCCTGACTGTGTAGTATCCAATCCATAAACACACTGGCTCATATACACTACCTCTGCTCAGAAGGCAAACTCAAAGCTTGAATTTTAGTTTGAGTAGCACAATATTAAATTCATATGGGTGATAATTGATTATACAAGTATTATGTTTTATATATATATATATATAAGAAATAATTCCTTTTCACATTTAAACTGTCTACAAACAGACCTAACACTCCTGTATTGACAAGATTCTCTTACTGTTTTCTACATGATTTGTCGTATGCACCACTCTTGATCTTCACTAATCTTTGCCCCTACTCTTTCAGCACTAAGGGGGAACACATCAGTCTAGCACAGCTAGTTAATTTCATGAATGAGAAGCAACGAGACCCAAGCCTCAATGAAATTTTGTATCCACTCTATGATGAAAAGCGGTGTATGGAGATCATCAGAGCTCATGAACCTCACCCGGAGAATGTCGAAAACAGTACGTGAACTTGCTTGAACTATTATCTGTTGAACTCGAAACACTTAATGTCTGCACAATAATATACATACTCATAATTACCTAAGTGTAGTTACAGGATGAGAGCTATGCTCAACAAAATGTAGATGGTTTGCTAGCTAAGTAGTCAAATTTTCTCATTTTAAATTTCATGCAAATAAATTTGCTTTTCATAGTATTTATCTTTTTAATTTATATTATTTATTTATTAAGAGAGATTAATTTATTATTTTCCAAGCTCCATGAAATAAACAATAAACTGACATAAGCTTTAATACTTTGAATACTCTTCTAGTTTCCTGTGTTTGCACTGAAAGATAATTTTTCTCCTTTAATAAATTGACTCAAATATATTCTTCATTTTGAAACAGAGAGATTCAGCAAAGATGGCTTGTTGGCATACCTCATGTCTGATGAGAATGCGCCTGTATTTTTGGATCGTCTAGATATTTACCAAGATATGGATCAACCACTTTCACATTACTACATCAACTCCTCCCACAACACCTACCTCTCTGGAAGACAGTTCGGTGGCAAGTCCACAGCGGAGATGTACAGACAGACCCTGCTGGCTGGCTGCAGGTTAGATCACACATAATAATTGTAATAATAATCATAATAATAATATTTATTAAGAAATATATAACATGCTGACACATGTTACAGCATTGCTGTTATTTTGTTTATAAGGCTGATAATCATAAACAGTGTTTAATAATTGTCTGAACTAACAAGTTGACTTGCCCAATTAACAGTTAGGCAAGTCTTAAGGTTAATATAGGTATACAGTAATTATTTATTGAAGTTAAGAGTTAACACAATACTACTAATACAGAATATGACATACTGTATTGTATACTGTATACAAATAAAAAAAAATTCTAGAATGAATAATATATATAATATGTAAAAAAAAATAATGAAATATAGGGGGTACCACTTCTGGTTGCATTTGTAGGGACCCTCAACCTCGAAGAAGACTACATGCAGCATCCAACGGAGCCCTGTGGTGCACCCGTGTACACGCACATATTGTCTTCTCCTACCACCCAATATATTTTTTGTATTTTGTCATTTTGTTTTAGTTAAAACTTCTTTACACAAAAAGGGTTACAACATTGATTACATGCAAGGTACAAGGCTACTTGTCACAGGTTGTAGAGTTCCTCCAGCTCCTCAGATGGCGGGCAGGAACCATGGATGCAGTGTGCATTTCCCCTCTGGATTGCCACACTAAGGTGCTGAAAAAGCAAACTGGCGGCTTTAGGGTCTCTTAAGTTGTTTGAGTTAGCTTAGAACTCAGCTCCTTCAAGAAACTAGCAGCACTTTTACCCCAGGAAACAAGTGTCTCTGACACTTAAATCGCTTGACTGATGCCATGGTCTAGTACATTCATATCAGCCCGGATAGCTCCGGGGAGCCTCTGGATCTCGCCCAGAAAATGGTGTTTCATTACATTCAACGCTGTTTTTTTATCTTTCGTGAATGCTAATTACCTATGTCAAAAGAACAAATAATTATATCAGAGCAATTTATTTTATGCACACTTAAGTGTTAGATGGTAAAATTGCTTACACATCATAAGGTGTAACTAAGATGAAGACACAATGTATACAAGATTTATGCTACCTGGTGACTTAAATATATAAAATACCACAGTAAATAAAAAACAGTCTTCAGACAACATACAGCCTCCTTGCTCAGGTCCTTAAACATGATAAACACTCACATACAGGTGCCCCAAGTATAACCTTCTTTCTGTTGCATAATTCAACAATGGCATTATACCCACAGGTGTGTCGAACTTGATTGTTGGGACGGTAAAGGTGAGGACGAAGAACCAATCATCACTCATGGAAAGGCTATGTGCACTGATATTCTCTTTAAGGAAGCCATCATTGCAATTCGTGACTGTGCATTTGTCACCTCGGACTACCCAATTATCCTGTCCTTTGAGAATCATTGTTGTAAGAAACAACAATACAAGTTGGCAAAATACTGTGATGAATACTTTGGGGATCTACTTTCAAAAGAACCTCTGCCAGACAGCCCAGTAAGATCTCAATGTTTGTGTTTTAGCTATTGTGTTGATTTAATCCTAAATTTGTAGTCTTTTTTCTGGGAAAGCCCCTTCAGTAATTTCCAGAACTAAGTGCAGGTCTAGCAAGACTTAAAGGAGTTGCATCAGGCCTCTGAGACCCACCCGTGTTTACTGGAAACCTGAACCAGAATCTGGCTCTTTATTCACCTAGTTATGCTTGCAGGGGTTGAACTCTGCTCTTTCAGCCAGCCTCTCGACTGTCAATCAACTGTTACTAACTACTAATGATTTTTTTTTTACACACACACAAACTAGAAGACAGAAGGAAAAGGTGATATGATCACTACATACAAAATAGTAACTGGAATTGATAAAATCGATCGGGAAGATTTCCTGAGACCTGGAACTTCAAGAACAAGAGGTCATAGATTTAAACTAGCTAAACATAGATGCCGAAGAAATATAAGAAAATTCACTTTCGCAAACAGAGTGGTAGACGGTTGGAACAAGTTAGGTGAGAAGGTGGTGGAGGCCAAAACCGTCAGTAGTTTCAAAGCGTTATATGACAGAGTGCTGGGAAGACAGGACACCACGAGCGTAGCTCTCATCTTGTAACTACACTTAGGTAATTATACACACACACACATCGTCCCGGAACTGAGAGGTATAAGCTACGAAAAAAGGCTAAAGGAGCTGAAACTCACGTCTCTGGAACACAGAAGAGTAAGGGGAGACATGATAACCACTTACAAAATTCCCAGGGAAATTTGACAGGGTGGACAAAGAAAAACTCTTTAGCACGGGCGGAATGCAAACAAGGGGACACGGGTGGAAACTGAGTACCCAAATGAGCCACAGAGACATTAAAAAGAACTTTTTCAGTGTCAGAGTAGTTAGTAAATGGAATGCATTAGGCAGTGATGTGGTGGAGGCTGACTCCATACATAGTTTCAAATGTACATATGACAGAGTCCAGTAGGCTCGGGAATCTGTACACCAGTTGACAGTTGAGAGGCGGGACCAAAGAGCCAGAGCTCAACCCCTGCAAGCACAACTAGGTGAGTAAACCCCCTTCCCCCAAGCAGCAGCTCCGTAATAGCTGTTTAACTCCCAGGTACCTATTTACTGCTAGGTAATAGGGGCATTCATGGTGAAAGAAACTTTGCCTATTGGTTTCTGCCTGGTCTGGGAATCGAACCCGAGCCACAGGATTAAGAGTCCTGCATGCTGTCCACTCAGTTACCAGGCCCTTGCCTCTGTATGAGGCAAGGGGTGCTCTGGGATCAGTGATCAACCTAAAACCTAGAAAAACTCCACCAGAAAGCATAAGTGTGCAACCAGAACAAACTGAAATCTGAAGAAAATTAAATTCTTGTAGCTAACGGGGAAAATATCATTGCTGTGATGTAAGCATTGTAACCATAATGATCCTGATTACCACCAGGGGGCAGCCCAGGCTACCTGGGGTTCCCCCCCCCCCACTCGCTCACCTGGGGGCAGGATTCATCAAGCATGTATGCAATCCCCCTTTCAACAATTATGGCAATTTTCTTTACATTTATTAAACAGTTTGAGTTACGAAGCACTATGAGGTTGTTTATAACAATAAGAAGTTTATGAAGTTAATAATAAGTTAAATAATAAGTTAATAATAATGAAGTTAATAATATGGCTTATGAAGTTTCCTAGCTCATAAACTGTTACAAAGATTACACACAAAAATTACAATAGTGTTATTCATCAAATGAACAAATCCACAAGGGCCAAATCCACAAAGATATAAACAGGTACAATTTTAATTGTAAACACATTTAAAGCTTATTGTACATTACACTGATTTCCAATTATTTTTCCTGATTTTTGTGCAGATTTCCTATTCAAAAGCTCCAGTCTCCTCATAGAAAACCAAATTCTGGACCTGGTTGCCAGTAGTGAAGGAGTAGGTTTTGAAGGCCTGGTGCATCTCTTTCCCTAAGGTTAGGTAGACCTGCTCTTAGCTTGGAGAGCTACTGAGGACCTCGCTAGAAAAAGGAGTTTCATTAGTCATCACTTCATATGGCATTAGTTTACTCTTAAGCTGTACAATAATTTTATAGTTTTATTTGATGTCCTGTGTACATAGTGATCATCAGACATTGACATTACTTAAACTTTTCATTATCTAGAGGTAATCTATAGGATTTTTGTAGTTTGACTTTAGTATTAAAATTTAAAAGGCTATCTAACATTGATATATGTTAGATAAACATTGATTAAGATGATAAATACAGTACGTATTTATCATCTTAATGCAGTATATATAGTTATATATATTCTGTGAAAACAATTTGGCAGTCGGCAGAAAAAGCTATTTATATTTAACCTCGATGGAGTTCTGCTCAAAAAGAAACTAAATCCAATTTCCTCAATTCTGAGCCAAGAACATGGATCACTGTGTTACAGGACATAATTAACATGTTACCATTTAGCATTTGGTTTATGTGCAGCACGACAATTATTATAAAAAATAAGAAATACTGTACTAAGATTTTTTAACAAATAGAAATAAAGTATAGTATGTAATGAAATGTCTGTTAGGACAGCATCTCGATAGCTTCCTAGAGCTTACTGAACAGACATTTTAGGCACCCACTTAATGCCAGGCTCCTGTACCAATTCTGGCCAACTGAGAGCAAGGACCAATATCTTGTTCCATCAATGGGATGAGGAAGAACTTCTGGGGTCAAATATTAGTCGGCTACTAATGTGAACCACCCAAATAACAAAAAAAAAAAGTGGCAAACAATAAAATATACAAAATCTCCATAAAAAAAGATTGGGAAATACCAAACTACTAAACTAGTTGTTAAAACACTTAAATGATTCTCTGCAATGGCTCGCCACCATAGGTGGTAGCCCAAGCTACAGTGTGTTCCAGCCAGCCAGCCACCCTCATACTCAAGCCACTAGGAAGGATGAGGTGGCAGCTCAGAACAAATTTTATAAGTAATAAATTAAATGGAATGATAGTTAATAAGTAATCATGCTAAAGTATAAATAGCACTTCTCATTGTAACATGGCATGAATTTGCTGCAGCTTGTCCCTGGCCACCCTCTTCCATCACCTAACGAATTAAAATTCAAGATTCTCATTAAAAACAAGCGCTTAAAGCCCGAGGTGGAAAAGCAAGAGTTAGAATTGTTCCTGAAGGGTCAGCTAGACCTTGTGGATGACGACGACGCAAAGGAGGATGCATCCCAGACCAACCCACAGCCAAAGGAACCTAAGGTGAGATAAACCATACTGATAAGTGATCCTGTATGAGAACTTTCAGAACGTATAACTTTCTTATGTAATAATACTGTATTTCAGGTACTTAAATTGATTACAGGTTTATGTATGATGTAAAAGTCAGTGAATGACAACCATATTTTATGTCACTAAATTATGGGTAACAAACATAATTTCTTTGTGCTGGGCAGGAGTACTGCTGTCTGTCTTTTGTACAGGATGTGTGTTTCCTCCATTGTCAGTTGACTACTCCTGACTTCTCTCTTTTTCAGGGTAGTGTGCATGTTTGTTGCTAACTGTGAGGCCTGTTGATGGGAAATGATAGTAGTTAGCTCAATGCTTTTGTGGTTACTGCACCTGGCTCTGCTTCTTTTGTATGTCAGGCCCTGCACTTCGGCTGAAGATGCACCTGGATTACGTAAGAGGTTGTATTAATCCATTGCTGCAAATACTTTCCTACTCCAAGTGGTTAAAAGTTGAGGGTCAGCATTTGATCAGCAAACACATTTCCTGTGCCTGGCTTGCCTTCTTATCTGCAGCATGGTCTAGGTGACTGGTATTTCTCTTCCTTGGGGGAAGAGGTTTTGTCAGGCTTAAATGTTTGAGAAGCTGTTATGGCTTCCTCGTCCACCTTTCGTGCCTGAAGCCTGCAGTGTGCAGTTTTTCTTTGTGTGATTCAGTGATTTTGGACCCTGATGGTCACTCCTGCTGCCTCTATCACTTTGCCTGTTGGGTTCAGGAGTCTTTTTTTCAATGTTGGGGACATGTAGTTTATTGCCATTAGACTTTTATTTTAGCCGAGTTGTCTTCATGAGCTGTGGGTTATTAGGTTGCTGTTATATTGTGGATCTGCTAACCACACTATCACACAGTGTGGTATGGCTACTGATCTCCTGTTGTTATATATGAGGAGGATGATGAATATCTTGTTTTGGCCATCTGTGCCACATATAAAGGGACCTCCTCTGCCACCTCTACCTCAGCTATTGAGAAACAGGTTTGTCTGGTTCATTCAGTTTCCTAATCTCCTCAGTTAGAACAGGCTCCTAAACTAACACATCCTCTCGAATAGTACAATACATTTTGACATACTGTATCCCCAAGGCCAAAAACTGATGTGCTAAAAATCAGTGGCTTGCAAAATTGATGTGATGTCCCATTTTCTATTTTTGGGTCTTTGGTTAGGCTAGGTTTGGGCAATTTAATACATCAGTTTAGTGATGTTGGGAATGCTCAAGATGATGGGCTACCTATACAATGGTTGCCTGTCCTGGAGGTTTTGTTGCTCCGCTCACAGGTTGTGGAGAGAGTTTTTTCTGACTGATAATCACACCTTCTGCTGTTGGTGCACGTGTTGGGAGCAGTATATGTTTTACCCTTATGTGTGTGAGTATTGCTGGGTGTGGGCCGAGATCCTGTATGAACACTTGACTCAGTCAGCCGTATCTCAGGTGACGTGGCCAATTGTTTGCAGATTCATGTTCTTTCTTGTAGATTTCACTGGTCCCTTCCTTCACCTTTGTGAACCTTGTTGGTCTGCTCCAGGCTTGTGTGGATTAGGGGCAGTTAACTCATCTCTAACCCCCAATTTTCTGGAGGATTACTTTCTGTGGCACTCTTCTAGCCCTAGTGGGTACCCCCTTTGGTTTTTCTCTGTGGTGACATAGCACCAAGGAGCCACCACTAGGAGCCCTGCCAGAAAGCCAGTGTTATGTAATGAAATGCCTTCTGATGGGTCTTTGGGACCCTTCCTTCCCCATTTAGGAGCGTCAGTTTTCCAACTTCTTGTTTATATTTTGAAATATGAAAGGTTGCCGGATCGAGGAGGAAAGTGCACAGACGCCTGGTAGTGTGCAGGTAGAACCAATGAGAGAAGTGATGCAACACTAAAGGGTTTGTGAATCTCTGAATCTTCTAGCTTTGCTGTAGCTTCATTCTATGCCTTGTTTACCTTGCTATTTGTATACTGTATTTTGGTTCGCTCGTCTTTCTGGTGGTGTTTTCTTAGTGACCTATAATCCCTGCTCGTTGTACCTTTTTAGTGGGGGCAAAGTTTTTGCTTCTTATTCCTAGTAGGCTTATATGACTTGTAAGGTCTTGGTATTGATGGAGTTGGATGTAACTTGCCTGATAGCAATCACTAAGGAGGCACCAAGGACCCACCAGAAAGAGGTGTTTCATTACATTTAATGTTTTTTTTTTTACTTGGGCTGGATTTTTTCTTTAGCTACGAGTCCTCCACTGTAGCTACCAAGACAGTGTCCAAGTTGTTCAAACATGTACTGATTCTTCCCAATTTGGTATCAGGCTTCTATGCAGCTCACCCTGCCTTGATGCATTCTGTGTTGCACCATTTCCAGGAGTCCAACTGGATGCTTACACTTTTGTTTTCATTCTATTTTTAGCCCATTTTTCTATTGCAGAGGATAAGTCAGATTTTAGATACAGCATCAGCATCATTTCACTCAGCCAAGTTTTTCAACTGAAGCCCACCCCACCTGCCTTCCATGAGAAGCATTCCATCCATGTTTTGCTTAGCATTTTGGATAACGTAGTAGCTTTGTTGCTTTGGTTGTCCAGGTGTTTGGGGCTCTTCTTCTTACCTAACCTATGGTTAGTGGGGGTGGCTCCACCATGGGATGGAAGATCTCGGCAGAAATACTTCAATGATTTTTATCAGCTTTCTTTCGAGTGGGTCAGCAGTCCCTGTGGTGCAGTGGTAACATACACGCCCGCATTTCGCGAGCAATTTGGCTTGGGTTCATATCCTGGCTGGGGAGGATTGACTATGTGCCATTCCTTAACTGTACGTCTCTGTTCACCCAGTAGTGAAAGGGGTACCTGATTGTTAAATGATTTAGTGGGACATATTTCAGGGAAAATTAAGATTAAGAACCTGCCCAAAACACTCTCTGTGCTAGTGGCTTTACAAGAGTGTAAGAATTATTGTAAGATATCTCTGCTGGCTTTTAGAAGGCTTAAAATGCTGAGACTTGGTTTCAACTCCTTGTTACCGAGGCATCTTGTGGGTGTGGTAACTGTGGCCTTCACTGGTGTCTCTTGTCCTGGGGTAGCCAGCTACAGGTACTTTATTACTCCATGTCCACACTTTCAAAATATTGGACCACAAGTAATTTCCATGGTTACATTTTTGCAGGTCATGTTCAGACTCCTCCTTGTGGCTACTGATGATTTATGTTATTTGACTTCAATTTTTGTCTGCAGGAGGCTTGTTGAGTATAATATTTGTTGTTCTGTATGATAGCAAGTTGGTCCCTCAGGTTTTGCTTGAGTTAGATTTGCCACTGTTCCTTCCCAAACAACGTTACCAGACATTTTGGAATATTTCTATTTATGATTGGTGAACAGATCATTGGAGCCATGTGGGTAAAATTTGTGTGTGAACCCATATACTATATGCTGCTGCCTCAGTGGAGGTAGTAAGGGGTCTCTTGTCTCAGGAAAGAGCATTTAATATAACTGCCATATATTTTTTGCTCTCAACCTTTATGTTGCTTATTCAAAGGTTCATTCAAATGATTTGAATGAACCTTAATTGATTTTTTCCAAATAAAATACATTATTTGTTGTATATTCAGTTTGAACTTGTTGGTTAATATCCATGAGTAAACTTTTTTCTGTGGGGAGCTTATCCAGGCTGATATGCTAATGTCACATTTTGGCATCAGTCATGTGTATGGAGTTCTGTGGGCTTACTGGGGACCACAAGCCAGAACTTGGCCCCATCAGAGAGGCATGTGGAGCCATGGCCCATAGAAACCCCAGTGTGGTTGGAAGCATTCTATGTCTATCGACCGGGTCAGGCACCCAGAAAGGTAAGCGTCCCAAAACAAACCCCTATTCTGGTGAAAATTGCTACCAAAAGCCGAACAAGTGGATAGAACTCCCCAAAAAGAAACGAGCAAACGAGTATGACGTTGCACGTCGCCGCGCTGTTGTCTGCGCAACTCCACCCTCCTCGGGAGGCGGAAGGGGGAGCCCCAGACTCTTGCGCCGGCTATCCGTCCTTCAGTTCTAAGGCTGATGCTAGAGGTAGAGGTCATGTGCTCTGGCTCCAGTGATTTTTCAGCACTGTGCTTAGAGTGTGGTGGATGTCATCTAGGGGTGCGAGAGCCAGGAGTTATTAGACAGTACTCGGGCTGCATGCATCTAGGGTTACTTTCCCTAGGTGCCCTGTAAGTACTGCCCTTGGGGCTTGAGGTTACCTTCCACAAGTTCCTTAGGTCCTGCCTCTACTGGGCTGTTTGACTGCTCGGTTTTTCGGCCGCCTTTTGATTGCTTGGGTGTTTTGTCTCCCTTGTTTACCTTAGGGTAAGAGACGGTTTGCACTGGTACGGGGTGCAGGGTGCTGCGCAGCTTTTCACTATTCATAGCAGCCGACTCTGTTCCTTTGGGTACGTTGTCCTCTTGCGGGGATTTGTTTTTCTTTTTGTTTCTGCCTTGTGTAGGGGGGGGGGGGGGAATCTGCCTTGCTTGCCCCTTGGTATCTGACCTGATACGGTTTTCTTCTGGTGGTGCCCCCTGCTAGGTCCCCGTGAGTGTACGTGTCCCTGAGGTTCAGCTTTAGAAAGTTGCTTGGTAGCTTTGGGCGCCGGTTATCAGTACCTTGCCTGGGATTCCCTGAGCGTGAGTTTCATCTCAGGACCCTGGGAAACCCCAAGGGAGCATGTGGGTCCGATGGATGTGATCCCAGAGTCCGCCCCCCCCCCCTCCCTTCTCTTCATGCGAGTTCGAGGGTTGCTCGGCCCCCTTGTCTCTGGGTGAAACTCGCTGTTTTTGTCTCCAACACGCTGCCTGTTGGGTCGGTGACACTTTCGACCCGGAATCCTGCGAGTTCTGTTGCTTGCTGGTGACTGTTTACCCAGTCTAATGATGATCTTCTATGGGGTACAGGCAGCGCAGGTGTTGCATGTGCGCTTTAGGTTGTTGTAACACGCTCGGTTGGTTGCTCACCCGTATGCCCCGAGGCTGCCCCA